TAGCTTGGTGCTGGTCGGAGACCGAAATGCGCGCGTTGGCCGTCCGTCACCCGATGAAACCCACCTTGGTGGCCGTTATGGCCTTGATAGCTGTCGTTCGGATAATGGGGATGGACTTCTTACCATATGCTCAGAACACGGTCTGTTCCTCGTTAGCACGAACTTCAGATATTCTAAACGTCACCTCGCCACCTGGCTTAACCCCTCTTCGACACAGAAGTGGAGTCAGATTGACCACATAGCTATGAGCTATAGATGGAGATGTGTGCCGTGTGACTGCCGTTCGTATTGGTCTACTTGCTTGGACTCTGACCACGCACTGGTTTGTGCCAAGTTGTCTATGCGTTTCGGTGACCGCAAAAAGATGCGATGCAAACAGCTCCGTATCTGTAAAGATTGGTGTTATATATATAGACACCGAAGACCTGGAATGAGGGTATAAAAACCCTAACCGGGAGTCTGGGTCACGCAGGTCCCGTTAGGCTCTCTGGATGGGGACCTCGGGATGATCATACCCGATAGTTTAAAACACTGGGTGATTTGGCTGGGTGTCGTAAACAGTGGCGTTCGTGCATCTTGTCGATTTCGTTGCAAAATTAGTGCAATGAAATCGGAAATTTTCTCCTCGATCCTACTTCCGACCTTTCCTAACTTTCTCCTCATGTTCATCCAAATGGGCAGCCAAAACCCGCAACCAATACCGGCGCACGATAGTGCATGGTTAATGGTTGTAGAAAATGAAAACTGAAACCTAACCTAGTGGGAAGTAAGGTGATTCGCCACTCCAAGCATTGGGGCTTCCATCACTGTACAGCAGGTCTTCGTGAATAGGGGGTCCATTCCGTCTGCTGTTCGTCACACAGGTGTGGTTAGTAAAAAAGTTCCTTTCTAGCATCATCAAACGCCCTAAAGCAAGTTGGATTACTAAAAAAGTTTTTGGACGTTCGAAACAAGCTTATTGCCCCGTTTTCTACCAGTAAACATTAGACCACACATCAAGTATGATATCAAAGTTTGGAATTCATAGTCAAGTTGTGATAAAAAGTGCTTGACCGTCATCAGCGAATACCAGCCAAAATGGTCAAAGGATTACGCTGAAAGACTGCAAATCATCAGATTCTGTCTATTTGAATACCGTCGAATACGGGGAGAGACATGATCCTCGTACATCAAATACTACATCAACCTAAACACCCGTGTAACACTCAACTAACACTATCCAGGAACTGATCACTCCAGGGGATGTTCCTTTAAACTCTTGCTACAAAAGAGTCGACCAGACTGCAAGCGTCACTGCCTCAACCTCAGAACTTTATTTCACCCTGAGTTGTTTGTGCTCCAAAACATCGATTCACGGCTCGATGAAGCATGGAAACAGTGAACTGCTCAGTAACGGTGAGTAAACGTGTTGCTTTGTTATTTCCATGTACTATCATCCAAACCCGGTGTGGACAGACCCCGTGCGGGATTGAATAAGCGTCAACTTCATCAATTAACCGCAAGAGAAATTTGAAATCCGGTGCCAATTTCTTTTCTAAGTAGTTGTTTTTACCACGATCTGCTGCGCACATAACACGGACAGTAAAGTAAAGTGTTCGAAACATTGCAAATACAGCACAATTAGAAACGATTGGATCAGTCTCTCGAACCGGGGGGGCGTTGAACTCGTGCCATACGGGAACACCTGCAGTAGACGGCGATAATCACCATACACTCAAACAATGAGCCGATGAAGGGGGAAGGGTCAGCAATCTCGGGCCACGGAAATTCTAGTCGCGAGCGCTATTGGAAACCAGATAATACAGCATATCGTAAAGGTTAGCCTGGTGTTTGACAATCTTAAGTCCGTAGCGCAGATGCATTGAAATAGAATACGATAAACAGGGTATCAATCGGGGGGGGAAAAAACAAAGCAAGAAAATGAAAGGTTATGTGGCCAGTTGTGTGTTAACTGGGAACTATTGCCATGGATCTTTGCGTGTTAAACCACCCCACCACCCCCCCCCCCCCCCTTACATTCACCAGAGTAGTTGAAGAAATCATTCCGGATTAGGTGATTCGAAGAGGATCTATGCACTCCGGAATGGTACTATTTCACTCATGGTACTTACTACTCACGTCCAGGCAGACTATTATCGATGCGGTTAGGAAAGTCAAAATAGAGGCGGTGGGAGGTGAGAAACCTATAAAATAGCTCCTTGCCAATTTAAATCAGGAATTTAAGGCAAAACTCGAAATGAAATGTGGTATGGCTAGCAAGAAACAAGCGATGGATAGTCACCTAATTTGGATATATGCCAAATAATCGAGAGGGGTGGGGGAGAGGAGTTACGAACAGCGAGAAAATAAATGGTGTTACGAAGCGTCAAAAAGAAAAACGCCTGTGCATATGTCATAAACCGATTGTATAGAATGGCTGATAGAATTTTACGTACAACATGGAGATCGGTATGTCACAGAACAACTATCTACACGAGATGGAATTTATAAACCATGACACCCTAAGCAGATCATAGATTGAACAGTGTCAACGTACCGGTGTTTGCTGCACTTTCGCACGCTCAATTTTCCGTTCGGAAAGAGATAGTCGGGATTGAACGTAGTCCGTTTGCGACCGGAATTTTCATTGTCTGTGTTCGAAGCACCACTGGATGAGGACGACAACGAGGATGACGTGGACGTGGTGGTGGAAGTGGTGACGGTAGTTGGGGCGGATGACAGAACATGTTCCTCGTCTGATGAAGATGTACATGATGCGGCTGAAGAGAAACTGGCTGTCGAAGATGAGCTTGCAGGATGAACTCGGGTGTCGCGTTCATCCGCGTCGGAGTCTGCTCTGGACGGTGGTGTCAATGCTGATGAGGATGAGGATGAGGATCGCGATTTTACAAGACGAAGTTTTTTCTTACGAGAAACGACTGATGGTAGCAGTGCCGTCTCCGGTTCTGCTTCGCCGTCTTCCAATCCAAGATCCTCATCACTCACCTCTTCGCCATGTTCGCGAACGGTTCTCACTGGCAAGGGATCCGGATCCCGGCCGTGAAACCCGTCCACCAGGGTCATATGATCCAAACGATGTGAGGGTAGGTGATTGTGATCAGGGTTACATGTGTCAAGTGGGTCAACAAATGGTGAGATAGGTGAATAGGTTTTGTGATTGGCGATTGTACGCCCGGAGACCGGGAGATCGGTGGGAGAATGGCAGCACACCAAGTTGTTCGATGCAACGTCTTTAGAACGTGTTGGACGGGAGAGGAGTACCGGACGGATGGGGTTAGCAAATGGACAGACGAAAAGACAAAGAGAGAGAGAAAGGAAGAGAGAAGACACACCATTGTAACGATCAATAGACATAGGTGTGAGGTTCCAAAATTCACAAGGGTGACACCACTATCCGTGAAAATAGGCACACAAAAGGACAAGCGCGCATAAACATAACACCAGACGATGGGTTGAGTTGTTAGATAATAAGATTTCATTGAACTGATAGTGCACCACAGGCATTGCAAAAGTATGATGTTATAAATTTTGTGTTTGAATAGAACGACATCCCTAGTTGACTTTTTTTACTTTCAGAAACATACACTGTGTGAGCCCGGGAGCGGCATTCCAGTGGTCAGATAACGGGATCAATCAAATCATCAGATATGTTACTAAGACCGATCAGGAACAAAAGATACCCCACACAGAATTCGAATGAATGATTTCGGAATCGGGAAAAAAGATAGAGACGAATTGAAAAGAAAGCCCGGAGTTATCGGTCAGCTTACCGCTAGGTGGAGAACAGGGTATCGGTTGGTAGCGATTGGACGAATCCACATTATGATGTTCCGGCCGGTTTAGATATGCACGATCACGGCGATGATGTTGATGATGATGGTGGTGGTGGTGATCGCGCCGATCACCGGATCCGGTCCGCAACGAGTGTCGAAGATCCCAGGGTAAATGATCGGCGATATACGAGGCTGTGGCGGAGACCGCTTGTTCTAACGACAATCCTTGTCGTCCATGTAGATGTGCCAAATGTGCGGCCAGACAGAATTCCGGTTTGCTTAAACGATTGTCTCGATCCATATCTGCCAGGCGCCTTGACGCAGGTACGGCCGGATCGAAAAGAGGGTAGGTGAAAGAAGAGCATATGGGCAAGTACGTCTTCCAAAATTATGTCATTACACCTGTACCTGTGGGAAACTGTGACTAAGAAATGAAATTCGTTCACATCAGCGAAAACAGTTGAAATCCTCCAGGCAACATTCCGGTGGAGGGATACAGAAAAACAAACCAGATTTGTGCGCATAAATCGACCCATGAACGACATGAAAACAAAACTAGAAGAGGTAGGGGCAGAGTTGCGGCAACTATGTCGCACGCTACTCACAGCAGCAAGCAGTAGGATATCGACCAGTGAAAACAGGCCATACTGAGCAAGTGTTACAAGAACAGAAATTTATAATAATGTTGTGACGGAACAGACGGTTAAGATACGACTGTAAGGCACCGAATGCAATACTCTCATACCTGATACCCCAGCCCCAACAGACAGAAGCAGTACATTTTATAATACAGGTCGATACAAGTGACCGATGACTAATTGCTTTTGAGTTAGTCAACCTTAGAAAGAAAAGTGATCACCCAAAGGCAAACCCATTACACTTATCACTGAAGACGAAACCTGAACAAATATGAATCGGCAATTCCGTTCAGTCATAGTATGAGCTGGTTTGACCAGTGTTAACGCACACGCATCTCATTAGATGGGTCCGGAGTTCCAATCCCGGACAGGATGGTGGATATGCACTACTGATGAGCTCTAATAAGAGCGAAGCTCGAGTCTAGTGCTTCCGAGTGTATGATTGAATCGGTGAACTCAGGATTGTGTTTGAAGGTGAAGTTCGAAGGATAGTCAGTTCAAAATCAAATCAGTACAATAGTAAACTTGTAAACTTGGTCGACACACTACGGTCCGAATTAGCAAGCACATTAACGTTAAAACACGGATCAGTCGCAGAGTCATGGGAACTAGCAAATAGCGAAATTGAACAGATACGTGAACAAAAAAACATCTGGCATCGGGCTCAGTCTTTACATCTCTTAACTATGCACTATTGTGCGGCGGTTTCGGTTGTTGTTTTTTGGGCTACCGTTTCGATATAGAACAGAACCAAAGAGGAGATAGAGAATTCGTATGGACTAAGATTGCAAGGAGAATGAGTAGATACACACGAGTACCACTCTATCGCTCTATCACTCAGAATCTCTCTCAACACCGATTACCGTGACCTCCAAGTCCCAAGTCCAGGGAGCCGAACGCGATCTACATATATGACCGAGTTAGGATTTTCATACCAGGTCTTAATTCGATCGGATCAGCATCCGCGTAGAAGAAAGGACGAGACAAATGAAATAAATGAACCCAGCCGGGGAAACTTACCAGATCTTATCGAACGAGGATGGGGTCACATTGAACTGAGTGAGAAAGACCTTACGACTCTCGGCCTGGGTCACGGTTAGTCGGCGTAGATCACCGTGTTGTTGTGCGTCGACAACTTGATCAAACTGATCGGCATATTGGGCCTCTTCTTTCGGATGTAAGGTGAACAGGGACAACCATCGTCGATCCACGGCCCTCGGAGACCCCGGTTCCGAGGAGGACAGATCGCGAACTCCATCTGATGGACTGACTATGGACGACGGACTTAACGAATCCTCGGTGCTCTTAGCCCGATCAATGTGTTTTATTCCGGTCATTCGATCCAGAGGAATGTGGATATGAGGAGCGTTTCGGGGACGGGATTGGTCTGGAATATATAGGGTAAAGTTGGAGTCAACAATGACGTTACACAGAATTACGTTGTACCTCGCTAATAACCAGATGACAGTACATGTAAATTTTCCGATCGCCGGAAGATTTATTCTCACGCAAGAACACGAGCCCCTCGATGTTTTCTTTGATGTGTTGCTTACATACACACTCCGCCGTATTTTGTGGGGCTATTTACGACTGCAACCACAGCACGCCACGGGATACTTTTAAGCGCAAACCAAAACTAAACACCACATAATCCGATTGGTTGTGATTGATGCGTCACGATTGGAACCAACCCGATCCGAGAAGTGAACGAGATAAGATCAATCATCGGTTGGATATAGAAACCAGGAGAAAATATCGACCAGGACGGGGGTCTGATGATAGGTAAGGCGGTCTCGCTCACAGAGTGGCACCAGCTGAGGTGCCACCCACACCCTGATTAAGCGATCAATAGTGTGAACAGGTCGGTCCGCACGACAGTTGGAACCCCGCTTAGTTGCGCGCATTTAATTAGTGAGCACCAACTAAACTAGTTTGATATGTGAAAACAGGGTCAACACAGATGATGATGTGCATGTGTGCGCCGCAGCAGGTGGAAGAGCTTTGATTCGACAAAGCAATTTTTGATCATCACCAGGCATCATAAGGCGGAGAAAAACGATAGATAGGTCAGCTTTATGCATTGTATCGGATAGATACATTTATCCAATAAATGTTATCCCAAAGTCAAAGTCAACGTTTTATCATGGGCGATTTAACAAAACTAAAGCTTATCATGCCCCACAGAATTTTTACAGAATCTTTGGAATAACTTCACAAAGAGAAAATAACAATGACAATAATGTGCGTGATCACTCACGGATGTTGAAATTTTAAGTGTTCCAATGCTTTATCAAGTTTCGATTTAAATAGTTCAACTGTAGGAACACACGCTACATCAGATGGAAGAGAATTCCCTACGCCGCACAATCTGACTGCAAACGAGTGATACCGGCAATCAAGGTGGCTGTTCTGGGTCTTCAACTTTAGTGGATGTCCCCTGAGGTGATCATTTTGAGATAAAGTCAGCATAGGACGTGAAGGGTGGTTGGGTTGATGCAGTAGGTGATATGTCAAGTTAAGGTCCCCCGAAGTCGGCAGTATTGAGATAAGTAGAGTCCCAACACTTGCAGTCTTTCGAATTATATCTTGTTATACAGACCTCTTATTAATTTCGTTGTCAGCCTTTGCGGACGTTCTAGAGCCTTCTTGTGGCGGTATAACCATGGATCCCATACTGGAACGGTGTACTCCGTGTGTGGCCAAACGAACGCTGATAGCAAGCGTGGAAGCAGTGCTCTTTCGAACTGCCTGAAAACACGTCTGAGCTGTCCAACTTGCTTTAAAGCCATAGATGATGCTGACACAGTACGTGGAACATCCTACGTTCTCCTATACCATAACTCCCAAATCCGTTTCATTAGTGGCATGCGGTAGTATTTGGTTCCCCAGAACGTAGGAGAAACGAGTCGTACACCGCATAGAAATAACTCTGCATTTGGAAACGTTGAACTCGATGTCGTTGGAAAAAATATCTCAGAAAGCACATGACCGGTTTTGCGGCTGTTGTTATAGTTACTCGTCAGGGATGCGTACTTATTGATCTTCTGTTAGGTCTTTCATATACTTGTACCATTACTTTAACTTTTTACTTTTGATCGATTAACTCCTGCGAGAGGATAAGTCGGTTTCTTGGATATCTCTAATGCTGGCGGCTCGTGCATAACGATCGGTAGCAAGGTTGACGCAGTGTGAAACCCAGTTCTGGTTCCAGCTACGAATGCCATATACGGATTGGAGGCCCGGTAATTCTAAATCCACCTTGATCGTACTGCTCCAGGTCCTCGGTTGACCACAGAGTCAGCAACGCCATCTACGGCGCGGTGCGGGGGTTACAGCCTATCGCGAGAGTTGAGTATCGGACCTTTGGAGCACATGTCCAAGCAGCGCCGTCAAACCTCATCACTGGAAAGTCGATCTCTCCAATTTACTTTCAAGATTCGGCCTAAGCACCATTGATAAAAGATTTCGAGGTTCCTTGTATCTTGCACTCTTAGCGGCCAGGTTTCACAACCATAAGTGAGGACGGGGCGGATGGAAGCCTGATAAACCCGAGGCTTAGTGTTTAAGCATATTTTGCATCGATTCCATAACGGTTTGTGGAGTTGTAGGAAGCTTCTTCTAGCTCCATCTACGGAGTTGGATTTTATCCTTAGCCTGGCCGTTTGGTCTTATCGTAGAGCCAAGATACTTGAAAAATTTGGCTGATTCGACAAGCTACTCGTTAATCGAGAGGGATTGGGCCATGACAGAAGTTGTACTTGTAACCATAGTATTTAGTTTTTTTTTATTATACACCTTGGTATGATGATGAAAAGCTGATAGGGAAAGTCGGGAGGGGGGAATGCTGTTCGGTGGTGGAAACCGGGGTAACGCACGCCCCGAGACTTGAAGTGGCGAACCACATCTCCAGGTTAGGCGTGGTATTGAACCAGACGACAGCAAAGCTGTCTGCCACCAAAGCTCGGCGGCGGTAGCAGGGCTCGAAGCTCGGACTACAGGGTCCGAAGCACGCCGGTGAGAGCGACTAAACTACTACACCACCACCTCAAATAATTAATACCACACAATACCAGTTGGTTACATAACTACATTTACATTAGAAGCCATACATTAAATCCACCTCCATTCCAATATAGCCTAAGCATCAGAGCTACTTTTGAAGACCCGAGGCAATTGACGATTGAGACACTCGGCACAATGTAGGGACTGATTTGGTCAAATATTCCGCAGTGCAAAGCAGCATGTACGTGTGTGTGCATCGGAAACGCAATCTAGACCAACCATTGAAACATGTGATAGGCCACCACAAGCACACACGCACGCGCGTTTAAACGGTTTAAACACACAGTGTAGTTGCTTTCCGTGTCACGTGTAATGTAAACTTCTAACTCCGTAGTACACTGGTGGAAGAAATAAGTCAGTAATGCGTGAATTGTTTATCGGTCTGCTGTTGAAAATACCGCTTTGCAATTCTTCACCGGATTCTCAGCCTCCAAACCCGGATGCAATCGATACATGTCTGTGAGTGACCAGTTGCCGAATTCGGCTAATTTTCCAAATGATGAACTTCCACAGTTCATTCGAATTCCGGCGGTACAAGTCCGAGGTAAAAAAAAATGGCAGATTTGGGTAGAATTTAAATGAGTGAATGACTAATGAACCAAACGAAATTGCGATTCACAACATGTACCGTATCTGCCTAGCAGTGTGAGTAAGTTCAACAGGCAGAGACGAGACGTTAGTAATTTCACAGTGGCCGCATAGAATAGACTTTTCGCGTACTCATGGATGCGGCTCTCAGGAGCTCGAAGACAGCACAGAGAACTGACGGTCATTATCCTCAGCATCGTACACCAAAGAGAACTTGGCTGCTAAGATCACAATGTTAGGTGAATGGAGAGTGAAGAGGGAGAGAGAAGGGAAGGTGGACCTATATGGTACAAACACCGTGTATACAGTCTAGTAAATGTGCATACACAAACTTTTTAGCATTTTGACCGAATACAAAATGACACAAAGAACGTTATTGCTGTCGGATAGATGCCATGTCGTTCAGTGTCTCCAAACAACCACATACGGACCGCACTTTAGAAGACGAAAGACACCGAATCACTCCGTGCATTTCTTCATGTCTCGTCTCTACGGTATCTACTGGGCTTCCGCTGCCCTCGGCAGCAACTACAGTGCCATTTCACTGGATATTTTTACCCACCGATTTTCACGATCGTTCTTAGGGGTTTTCGTTAACTGACGTTGCGAATCTCACCTACCACGGCTATGGTTCAGATCGGTTGAAATTCGCCGACCTTATCTACTGATTTATGATGTATTCAGAGTCTCAAATTGGCTTCAGGTTGGGATCCACAAGTGATCTATTTGCGATTATTTTTGACACTCCCTGATGAATTCGTCGTGTAAATGAGGCATGACAAGCTGGGAAACACCGGAAAGCTGTTTCGACCTGGTTGGGTCTGATCAGTAGTGCGAATCCATCGACCCAACCGGGGATTGCAAACCCGGGACCTCAGGTGATCAGATCGTTTCTCATTTTTTAATATACACGATATAACACAACCCATCTTTGTGAGCTTGTTGCGGGTATCGGTCCTCGCTCATCTCAGCACTAACCTCCAGGGCTATGACTCGCTTTGGAGCCTTTCACAACCTGACAATTTATTGTATGAAACCAATGGAGGATTTGAGTTGTTTAACTTCTCAACACGTGGGAGTGGGGGAGATCATCGTGAAACACTGCGACAGGGAACTAGTATGATCAAATGCACTAGCAAACAGACCTTCACTGCCCGGTTGCGTTGAGGACAGATCAGAAGTGGGTGGTGCATAGATGTTCGAACTATATCCGTCTTCGAGTGGACGATAAGCCCAATGATGCCGATCGGGTGAATGCTCACCGGGGTCAACAAGTTGACGAAACGGTGTTGGGGGCGGAGACGGGTGCGAATGTAGCACGGGGGACGGTGTGGTTTTAACGCTTGGTGAACCGGATGGGGAGGAGGTGAATAGACCTGGACTCGTGTGTGGCACGCTGGATCGCGTGTTCGGTGATATGGAGAATGGGTCCTTGTAGGTAGATGAGGAGATGGGACGATGTAGTGCTGACGATTCGTAGAAGGACAACTCATCTGGACGGTTCACACGTTCATTGGTCAGCAGACCTGAAAGTCAATAGTGGAGAAAAAACGTGGAAGAATGTGATTGAGAGACGCGAAGAAAAGTAACGAATATCTTTATTTCACACACACATACACACACACAGTGGAAAAAGAATCGCCTGTGCAAATTGTATTTGGCAGTTTGCATTGCCTCTACAACCTTATATTCTTAAATTTCAGTCAACCTGATCAAATCCGAAAGTCAATTCCACAGTTTATGAAATACGAAATAGGCCTATGAACAAATGCTACGATCTACCTACTGTCGATAGTTAGATCTAAATCGATGCCCAGGTTGGAAATTCATGGCGAACATGAATCGACTGAAACCGGTTCAGTTTTATCTTCAAGTTAATGCAAGCAATGCAAGCATGCCTTTTCGTGCCACATTCCTGGTTTCCAGTTGCCCAGTTGGATGAAGCAGACGAAAGAATTAGAATGTCACAAACAGTATCGGAGGTGATGATAGAGAATACAATCAAACTGAATTTGAGAACAAATCGAGTGGACGCACGAGCATCACTGTTTGTCACACCCTACGATAGCACATCAAGTGTCCCTGCATATTTATCTGTTTTCACACAAGCCTGAATCCAGACTGTGTGCCAAACAAATCACGATGCGATGATCTTCAAGGATAAATGCATGATTTGCTTGAGGGTATGATACTGCTAGGATGACCAGACCAGAGCAAGTGAATTTTTCAGCGAGTTCACAACCGGAGCCTTTGGTTAGCCAAAGCTTGACCCGCAAGACAGCGGGGCGGTGTGCGAAAACTGCAATCTATTGGGGGCCGATGTCCAGTTCATCGGATCTTACGGCTTTCGGACGGGGTCAAATGTGCAAGGTGACCAATACACCTCAATACCCCATTGAGCTGGCTGGTTAATGGTTGTTCAAACTGAAAACTGATTGAGCTGGTGATCACTACGCAGACCAAAGAAATGTGGGTGAGTCTGGTTTGTACGCCTCTGCTTTGGTTGGTTTAGAATCAGGGTTTTTTTTAGTCAACTCCTCTAGGTGAACTACCAGTGGTTCACCGACCTGCTTATAGCCCCTGATGTCGGTCTTTTGTCCCCTCACTTTGTTGGAAAACACCTCCACTATGAGAAGGCAGTGAGAAGGGTTTCCTCAGCGGAAACTATTTGAAACGTTTGGTTTTATTGGAGCATTTTACAAAGTGCAATGGAGGGGCGACCAGCCGTAACCCGAGTGACCCATCCCTGACCATACTGAGGCTTTCGGAGGCACTCAGTGTCTCTAGCTTTTGATTACACTGGTCTTGAGGTTCTATGTATATGTCCAATTATCCTGGCCGCGGTGTTTCTATATCTTCACACCACGCTTTAGTTTGACCGCTCCTTACTTTCTTCCACCCAATATCTACCTCGGCAGCATTGGCCTAACTGCTGCAGTGTACGCTCGATCCTTCACAGAGAGCCGATGTCACAACGGCGCCACGAATGTCTCAAGTTGTCAAGTGCCAATCGAGCCTTCGGTACGCGTGATGTGTCTACCGGGTGAGATGTAGCTACCCAAGCAGCCAAATTTGTTCACTACCTCTATTACTTCTTATTGTCAACATCTGTTGTGTTTTCCATCGTGCTACGTCTGGCCATCAGCAGAATTTTTCAGTCATTCTTCAGATAGTTGATTAGCTAACGTTCAAGGGATTTGGGTGTACAGTCAGGCTTCGAATCCGGAGGAACGTCTGTGCGACATGCACGGACAGAGATGCAATAACCCAGGTTTCAATCGGGGCTTGTTCTGCTTAGTGATCTTTGCGTCCGACACAGCTTTGCCAATGTGCTTTGTCTGGGAATTTTTCCACCAGCAGTCGTTCGGTTTTGTAAAACAGTCTTACTAGAGTCTAGTTGGAACGCCTCTTAGTGCCAATCAGTAAACCAGTGGAAAATGAGGATAAAAAGAGATGGATGAAGAACCAAACCCACGGAAGAAGGCTGAGCAATCAGCGAAAACACTGTACAGTGCAAAAAACCGAATCAAGGAAAAACAGCACTGTGTAGATAATAACCCGAATAAGTGGGTTCTTGCACATGGAAAACAATCTAAAAAGAGATGTGATGCCTTGCCAAACATGATAAAAAACCAAAATGTGGGACTGGTTTTATTGATCTTCTTCGGGATTCCAGCGAACAGTCTTCTAATGGATCAGCCATTTTGTTTACTGGCTGTGCAAATCAACTTTGTGGAAAGGGCGCTGCAATCAAAGGTTGCCAGGGGAAATGGAGAAACGAGGAAGGCGGGCAGCTGTGGCGGAACTTGAACTCAAGACATTCGCATTATCGTTCTGATGGTCTTATCATCGCAGGTTGGGCAACTGGTCGAGATCAATGATTATGATGACGTAAATCACTCACTGGTCAGTTGTTTCGGAAAGATACTAAGGTGAGACGCAGATACGAATTGAATACTTTTAAATTCAAAATGCAAAATGAAATTTTGAGTCGCTTTTTAATTATCTCATTATTTTTTTCGTTTTTTTACTTCCTTTTATTTAATAGACAATGATACAATTTTTCAGGAAGGGGGGAAGCGGCCAATCAAACGGCTGCCATACCCCACACAATGGGAGAAAGTTAGGCGGGTGGTGGGATTCGAATACACTTTCCCCCGGGGGGGGGGGGGGGGGGGTA